ACAACGAATTATTCAGTGTCCTAATTTCTGCAAAACTGACGTATGGTTTTGATATTTTCTCAAGACAAAAATGGAAAACCAAGCTTACGAACTCCTGTCATTCTCTGACTGCATGCTGGTTCCTCGCTCGCGGATTTTCCTACCCTGAAGATGGAGGCGATACGTTCCTCCGAAACGTCGATTCACACAAGATCTACACGGCGCCACATCCCTGGAGACGATATTCTTCATAATCATCGCTGTGAAAACCTCACATCTTTCATAAGAATTTCTTCGTAATAAAATTACAGAACAGGTGTCCGGAAGGGGACACGACTTCGTTGACTCAGAGGTTATATAATTCTTTAAAGGGCAGCAGTTCTATATGTACAGCCCGCTTTAATATACCCCAACTCAGCATTCTGCCCACGGAGTGTATCTGTGTGATTCACGGGATTCTCATAATAAACAGCGACTATTTTCTTAAACAGAATTAACTGGCCAATGTTTGTAGTGGATTATCAATTTACTCGTATTTTCTCAGAGATACGAAGCGACATTTTATACTATGGCACATTAGCTCAAAGCGTGTGCAAGGAATGCGGTCATCAGTCCAAACCCAGCCTATAGTCACTCCATCACGTGGTAATATATTGTTTAGAATAAATTCAGTCTTCAAAGAAAATAACGGTTTATTAAATCCTGAGAGTATGTAGCAATAACTTAACTACACACTCAAGAGATGAATTAAGGGTGAAAGGTGGACAGATGTGACTGAGAATCAGTGCTGAGCCTTCAAATTCTGTTATCAGAGAGCTACAAGTCTAGTCATTCCATCCCAATCTGTGTCAAATCCACATTATCACGAACTTTCACTGTAACATACTGTGTGTGACATGAGAACTGAAATGCATAGTAGTGGAGGCAGAAGAGACTACAGTTGCTAGGCAACAGTTCGATAAAGAAGTTTATGCGAAAACGAACGTGACGCAACAATTGATGAATTGTTGAAAGCGGTGTATTATATGCGGTCTGTTCGCAAGCCATCCCGTGAGAGCCATCCAGGCAACTTAGATGTAGAAATGAGTCAGTTATGACACAGCAAGAACATGAGCAAGGAAGCAGATGAGTATCTATTTATAGGAGCCGTTACCAGGCAACGACTGGCGAAAACATGGAAAAATTTATGTGTACTGTAGCACGGTGATCTGTGGTGTGTGTAGGTCCGTGAATCTTATAGTTATCTATAGATACGAGTTATAAGTGTTCAGTAAATCCAACTGCCAATCCAAACGCCGTGTCTGGTAACTAATATGTGACAAATCTTACAGTCCTTCAGCACTGACCGCCTCTAAACAGCATTAGCCGAGAGCAACGTTTTTGCCCGACTGCAAGGCCCGGTATTTGAAGTTGAAATTAAACTCTTACAACAGTGCTGATACCTTTCACCCTCCTTTGGAGTTGCTAAGTCACGCGCTGACGAAACCAGACATCCTTAGATCGAGGAAAAAGTATCGCCTTCGTTCAGTAGGTTTGCGAACTTGTGTAGTTTCCTACTAGTTCTACATCTCGATGATCTGTATTAATTAATTAATTAATTTAAGTAGGACGGATAATCGAGTTCACTGTCGTGGGATCTTCAGACCTGAGGTTCTCGCAGGTGGAGTGGCAGGGCTCCTGTGAACAAGGTAATGAATGTCCGGCTTCCATAAATGGAACAATTTCTTAATCAGCTAAATGATTATCACCAGTTTCACCAGAAGTTGTAAGTGCATCTGTAGATAGTGTAAGTATGAATGAAACAAAAAACTACAATTTTGCTGTGGTTCTGTATGGGTGCGAAATTGGGTTTCTGACATTAAGGGAGGAATACAGACTGAGGGTGTTTGAGAATCAGGGCGCTGAGAATATTTGGACCGAAGAGAGATGAAGTGACGGGAGGTTGGAGAAAACTGCATAATGAGGAGCTTCATAACTTGTACTCTTTGCAAAATATAATTAGAATGATAAAGTCAAGGAGGATGAGATGGGCAGGGAATGTAGCATAAATGGGGGAGAAGAGGAATGCATATAGATAATGGTGGGAAAGCCAGAAGGAAAGAGACAACCAGGAAGACCAAGACGAAGATGGTTGGACAATATTAAAATGGACATTAGAGAGGTAGGGTGGGTGGTATGGGCTGGATCGATCTGGCTCAGGATAGGGAACACGGTAATGAACCTTCGGGTTCAATAAAATGTTGAGAAGTTTTAAGTAGCTGCACAATTGGCGGCTCTTTAAGAAGGGCTCAGCTCCATGAAGTTAGTTTTTTTTTTATCGCAAGTGATTGTGGAGCAATTGGTGGAATGAAGATTGGCAGGGGAAACCGAAGTACTCGGAGAAAACCTGCCCCAGCGCCCCTTTTTTACCACCACAAATCCCACCTGACCAGACCCTGTATCGAACCCGGGCCGCTGCGGTGGGAAGCCAACGAAGTTAGTTACTAACTAACTTCACTGGGCCGCGCCATAGCTCAAGCGGTTGATTGATTGATTCATAACTAACTATAGTTAGTTATGAATCAATCAACATATAAATGTTTACGTAGCTTCAATTGTTAGTATTTTGGAGATTATATGGATTTTATACTTAAACATGAGGTTCAAGTGACCTTCAGTGCCGTGACGTTTATACCGACTTTGCAACTAAACATCAGGAAACAATACTTCATATACATCCGGTGGTTCCTGTTATTGGAAGTGAGACATTTCTTCTGTAAACCGATATCGGCAATGTTCAGTTTGTTTCAACAGGTTTTCCGATGCAAAGCGTGAACAAGGGGAAGAATAAAATGGATGGCCCTTTGTTTTAAGACAAAGTCTTTTCAAATAGAGTCCCAATAAAAAGTTAAAACAAGTTACTTGTTCATAACAAGGCTGTGCCCTCTAACGGTGTCCACTATAGAATTCAACAGATTTCGTACAATAATAAAAATGACTCATGAATCACAGAAACACAATCTACGGCAAAGTTTTCCTACAGTTTCAGATAGCTTTATACGCTTGTAGACCCAGTACACATAGAGGCGATTGTAAAGAGATGTGAAGAAGAGCCCGGTGTCCAGGTGTCAGCACAAGGCTGTGTATGTTGCATTTATTCAGAATGTAACAAATATCCATCTCATTAAGATTCACTACTGTCGACACAAAACTAACTGTATGAAACAGAGTTCATCTGGACAAACTAACAATCCCTCAGCTAGTCAAGATATTCTTTGTCGTTTTTGAAATCGGAATGTTTTTCCCGTGTTCAGAAGATGTGGCCACGGGGCTCTGTTCTAAATTTACTTGAATGATTATCCTCCCTTATGTTTGAAATGTTCTGTTATAGCCTACGGTTAACACAATTAACGGAAACATAGTTTAATTTATCTGTACGAGTATTGCGACTGGTAATAAATGAAAAAAGTAAAAGATACATGCAACTGTAAAAAATAAAACGGACTCGTTGGTCTTTAAACCTGTTTATTTAAACTTCACCTTAGTATCGTCACGTGCGTGAGTGACCACAGACGGGGTTTGGATTGGTAATTTGATTTGTTGAAAACTTACAGATCGTAACTATAAGTAACTATAGCGCTATCACTAATTCACACATTGTGCAGTTCACTAAAGTACGTACTAATCTTCTCAGCCTGCTGTGTCTTCACCAGTCGTTGCCTGGTGACGCATCCCAACATTGTCCTCTGCTTCTGTGCTTATGTTCTTACCGAATGGCACCTGTCTCATAACTAACCCCTACTCTTCTAACTGCCGTCTCAAGACTTTTCTCTAATGGCAGCTGGACCTTGTCGTGCAGTGTGTGCACGGACCGCACAGAGAACACAATTTACAATAGCTCTTCTATTGTAGCGTACGTGTCTGTTGCGGCCATTGTTTGCAGAGCCATTACTTAGCAACGACTATTGTATAGCTGCTTACTTCGCGGTCGTTTTCTAGTATCGGAAATACATTCCACAGAATTGTCCTCACATCTCCTTCCCTGTCTTCTAATTGCTCACTCTTCTCACGTTACTCGTCAAAATTCTGTAATTATTCCTTGTCTTTCATGCGGGTCACATGCCCGGCCCCGGGCAGACTCATGGACTTCACTATTCTAACAACACTTACATATGACCAAAGTTCTTGGGTACGTAATATCCTAAATTCCTCATTTAAGTTATCGTTTTATGGTTTAAGCCTTTTCCTGAGTACATTGTTTTCAAACATTCGTAAGTTATCTAAGATTTTAGGTTTTCACGGCTATGAAGAAAGCAGTCTTCTGGGATGTGGTGCCGTGTGTCTGTTGCACCTGCTCACGCTGGTTCGCTCGAGGATTTCTTCTTGTCTTCTACCCTGAAGATGGAGGCGGTACTTTCCTCCGAAACGTCGGTTAACACAATATCTACACGGCGCCGGATCCCAGAAGACTACTTTTTACATGCGTAATTTAGCTTCCTCCTTCAAAGAAAGAAAATACGTCTTGTACTCGTATGAAAGAATTGGAGAAACCAACCAATTTTATGAAGAAAGCAGTCTTCTGGGATTTGGCACCGTGTATATGTGGTGTTAACCGACGTTTCGGAGGAACGTATCGCCCCCATCTTCAGGGTTGAAGAAGTATAAGTAAATCTGCAAGCGACAACACCGTGAGACACGGTCAAGCAGACAGTCTGCTTGACCGTGTCTTACGGTGTTGTCGCTTAAAGATTTACTTATACTTCTTCAACCCTGAAGATGGGGGCGATACGTTCCTCCGAAACGTCGGTTAACACCACATATACACGGTGCCAAATCCCAGGAGACTGCTTTCTTCATAGTCACCGCCGTGAAAGCCTCAAATCTTACAACCAATTTTAGTCACAACCACGGATTCCTTGTAACTGCCCTAGACACTGCTCGAGAGGTGTTCTAACTTTCTGGATTTCAATTCAATTGCAAATCCTTCCGCTTCTCGGTACTTCAGATGTGGCAGCAGATTGAAAGAGCTGCAGATAAATTACCTTGTGTCTGGGATGCGGCGTGGGAGCTCCATGACCCCTTGTAGGATGTGTCTGAAAAGAGAAATCAGAGTTAATTCAAAATTTCACCCGTTTATACTCGTATGTAGATATGTTTGTAAGTATAATTCAGTTTCGACAACAGCCTCTCTTGATATTAACAAAAGGAATTTTTGTACATAAAATTGAGCACAAAATTCCATTTATATTTGTTGAGGGTATGGTGCAAAAGAAGTGCTAAGTTCTATGACATAAAGTTCTCTGCAAACGCATTTTTTCCGATTCTTCCACTAAGTGAGCACAACAAAGCCCAGGATCGGAGGATAAGCTGAATATTAATATGGACCTTTGCCTGATTGAAGTAGCATAGGGCACCAACCGATGTGGATCTCGTAACGAATACGATGGAACTTAAGGTTCTATGATGGCAGGAAGTTCACTGGTCGTATGAGGAATTATGAAACGTTCAAGAAACGTCTGTACGCAACAATGCTGTTTCCAGCCTCTTGGAGAAAAGGAGTTAACAGCTAAAGTGAACTGGAGTAGGTTTGTCAGGTTCTCAGTGGGCACGATATTTTGAATGGGGTAACCCAGCTGAATATCTGCGTGTATAATTCCCAGTAACGTTTTGTATCTTGGAATCTGAAAATGGCAACAAAAAAACAAACTTTTTTTGCTTTAGGAAGCGACACCCGTTTTTAATTTTGTTGTTAAAAGAATAACTTTGAGCCTAAATGAATTCATTTCCCATTTCTTTCCTCCATAAGAAAATCATTGGGCCCGTGTAGAACATGACTACGTACTTACTTACTTACCCATGCAGCTGAGCCCTTCTTGAGGAGCCGCCAATTCTGCAGCTACTCTAGAATTTCCCAGCGTTTTATGGAACCCGAAGGTTCATTACCGTGTTTACAAGATTCCTCCACTGATCCTATCCTGAGCCACATCAATCCAATCCATACCATCCCATCGTTATCTCTCTAAGATCCATTTTAATATCGTCTATCCACCTACGTCTTCCCAGTGGTCTCTTTCCTTCTGGCTTTCCCACCAATATCCCACATGCATTCCTCGTCTCCCTAGCCGTAATATATTTTCACAGCAACTGTGGTAACGAAAAGTGTTCTGAAGGTCGCAAGAATGACATGGCCCAGAACCTACAGATGTTAAACATATGTAACCACAACAAGGAACAAAAAAGGTTCCTCCAGTTGCAGTGCATACTTCTCTATATGGGAACACTATAATTCAACAGGTGAGAACTACTCTCGGGCACAAGTCACATTCGGACCAGACATATATACAAAATTTTACATCAATTTCGATTCAAATAAAAGACAAGAAATTCCGGCATAACTCACAAAGCCAGCTTTCTAACTCAGATATTCCCAGTCTTGCAAATCGTATATTGTCCAAGCGACGTCTAACTAACAAACAAGCTATCCTGCTGGACTCGTGTGCATGTCATCAAATCATCAAATTCCAGTCGAATCAGAAACTTTTATCACTTGCAACTGCAAATGTGTTATGCTGCATATTGCCGTTACTGTTTTCTGTGAGAAGATCTTATTACGTAAGCACAGCGTTTGTCCGTATGAAAACCGCTGAACATATCCTCAAAGTTTCGCTAGCCCATTTTTTCTCTTGTAAAAGGAAAGGGGAGGTAGGAATTGATACAAAAGGAGGCTGTACGTGACTCGGCCTATTTCACAATGAGACCATTTTATTATTAATAATATTAACATGGCTTCGTGCAGAACACTGACAGCGTCTCTTGATAGGTCCTAAAATTTTGTGTGGTAAGAATATGCAACATTTGACGATATAAGTTACGTTAGAAACTTGTAGAAGAACGTAAGATAAGTTTATATTAAATTTTTCTGCTTAACGGCAAACAGCAATGAAACCTTGCAACTCAGAATAAGAAATTTGATACGGAGGTGTATTATAAAGTATATACAGATTTCTTGTAAAACTTTCTTTGTTTCTCGGAGCAACAGACAGTAAAGGAAAGGTGGACTCAGAACATAGAGACTAGATATTATAAAACAGACCTGTTCGTTTATGCACGTAACTTTGGTCTTGAGGCTAATGTATAGTCCTTTATCATAAGAGCCTAATAAGAGAAAGGTGGGGAAGAGGCATGGGGGAACTGTACCTCTAATTATTATTCGACAGTTTTCTTTGACACTAAGATAAAGAATGAATGCACTGATTTGTTTCGCACCTCCCTGAGAACACGCATTTAAATCGAAGAAATCAGATGGTTAATAATTAGGGACAAAATCGTTCTTATTATGAGATTCAAAGGACACATATAAACACATTCTGTGCAACAATGAAGTGAATTAAGACAGTTTCCGATCACAGTGGCCGCGCGATCTAAGGCATGAACTGTCTTCGCTCGCTCGAACGCTGGGATCGTGGGTTCGAATCCCACTCAAAATATGGATGAATGTGTGTGCGTTAATTCTGTTTGTGTTGTCCTGCATTTAGTCCTACCGTCTCTGTAAAAAAAAGATTACGAAACTGAAGATGAAGCCAGGGCCCAACAAAGGACTTTAAGTTCATCGATGAATGAATGAATGAATGGTACATACAGTTACCACTGTCATATTCACGGGCAAGGTGCTAGGTGTTTTATTATTTATTGAATTCCGTTCCACACTAACTCAGAACGTGCTTCGCTAGGATTAAGTGTTTCCTTTTGTAAAAACCTTTAAGTATATGAGTAGTTTTACAGGCGTTTTATGAAACAAGTAAAAAAGTAAAGCTATCCCTGTAACAGCCCATGAAGGCCGATAGGGCTGTGAGACGTTGAGGGTCCCACATTATCTAGACAATTGGCTCAAAGATGGCGGTAAGTTTGTCAGCCTTACGCGCCGGCCGCGCTTTACTCCCCAGGAAAATTATTTAATTAATTCCTGTTAGAGGCTGAGTCGGCCCCAGGGCCATAGTGCGGCTGGAAGGATTGGGTCAATTGAAAAAAAAAATTATGAAACAAGAGTAACATGAAAAGTTTAGTTTTTTTTTTTGGAAAGCTTACATTTCTTTCTTTTGTAATCTGGGTACTAAAAGCTGAAAATAAGCTGTCTTATATCCCTCGGGCAATGTGGTTGAAATGAATTTTTCTATCAGACGTGAGAATTAAGAAGACTTGAAAGGTGCTGTCCATACTGGAGTGCCCACAGTTTCCATATGCCTTCACTGTGCCTTGGTGTTAACAATGATCCTACATTTCCGAACAGTTCTGTGCTCTCCAGTCACTTTGTGTTAAGCTTCTTTCTGTGCTTCATAATCCCCTTCAATACACGCGGCTATGCCTCTACTAATACTCACGCCCTAGAAAAAAAGTTTGGGTGGATGTACAGTTCTTAAACCTCTATGATCGCTACTGTTAACATGGTTACTGAAACCCACAGGTGAAATAATATAAGTTTGATTTGTTTCATTCTGGTCCGTCACACTAACAATTACAAATATAAATCACTCCGTCCAATGTGACCTGTAAGTTTTTTTACTACATGAAAACTTAACACACTTACATGTTTCGGTCTCTGTGGACCATCTTCAGAGGGCAAACATCACTACAAATAGGAAACCACCATCACATAAGTTGTTTAGACGTAAAGTACGTACACTTATATGCTACAATGCATAGTACACATAACAGAACATTTCACAAACACAGCATTTTCCTGGGAATGTAAAGTTTTTAAGTTTAAGAGGGACGATGGGAGGACGAACACGAGCCTGCATGGTTTACGAATTTTAATTATTAACAATACAAAAAAAAATTAATTAGCATCAAGAAATTTTATATAATTTTTTACATTCCCAGGAAACTGCTGTGTTTGTGAAATGTTCTATTATGTGTACTATGCATTTAGGATATAAGTGTACGTACTTTACGTCTAAACAACTTATGTGATGGTGGTTTCCTATTTGTAGTGATGTTTGCCCTCTGAAGATGGTCCACAGAGACCGAAACATGTAAGGGTGTTAAGTTTTCATGTAGTAAAAAACTTACAGGTCACATTGGACGGAGTGATTTATATTTGAAATAATATAAAATATTGGTGAAATTAGTGACAAAAATACTATAGTGTGGCACAAAGAGATGACAGAGACGAAGTAATAACATCAGTGACCTTATCTGAATATACAAACAGACAAAACAAGAAGCGATGACGTACTGTACGTCAGGTCTACACTACGAGTCTAGGCTTACTGCACAGCTGTAGCAAGAGGTTGAGTGACATGCATATGCAACGGGTGAAGACGCGTGAGTAAAGATAACATGGAACTACAGCACTAGAGAGTGAAGAGTAACAGAAAGAACAAGAATAAAATGGAAGGAGGAATATAAGGCCAGTGCCGGCGTTAACCTGTCTGATACGCAACAACAAGTAATGCAAATAGATCCCAATATTCATATTGAGTGCTAAACTGTAGATTTTACTTTATAACGACCGGGAATGTTATCCAGGTTGCATATTTACCGGCAAACAGCATGGAGAAATTGGTGAAGGTTCCTGTTCTGCTGAGGTAGTCAGCCGACGTCTTAATGTCCAACATTGTTCACTGTGACGTCATAGGCTCAGGGTTTAAATTTCAATGTCACGTGGTCTTACACTTCAATTGACACACATAACTTACTGACACTGCGGACAATATACCCATCATCGCTTCACTTTGCTCTCATCACTGTGGAAACAGTGCAGACATGGTCATAGTGACTATGACGCCACTTCTATTTTGAATAAAACGAAATTCACTGACGTGTTTTGAGGCGTAACAGATTTGTGAACTGGTTCGTTGCAGCAACCGATTCAAATGTCTATTAGCATCTGGTGCCAAATTTACATTCGAGTTTTCAGATCTGGTTAGAAATTTGAAAGTCAACAGATCACTGATTCGACACAGTAAAATGCAACCAGTTATAGAACTTGACGTACATCACAAAATTTTTCATAGTTCAGAACCACTGTAAAACATAGTCAACAGTCACGCCGACAATGTTACCATTTCTTTCGACGACTACAATAATAATCACTGGAGAACCAACAGGAGCGGCGCAGCTGATGACAGGACGCAACTGTCCTCCGTCTTGCTAAGCCACTTTCTCTTCTTCCCCTCGGCCACTGTTTCCGACACGACTGCTAATGTTCCGGTAGCAATGGTCCAGGTTCACGTCCTCAGGAGGTGTCACCTCGCATCGCAGTTTTCCGGTTAACACGCGCAGATGGGTTCCCCACTCACGGATGGATATGAGCTGATGGATCGCCGGGGTGGTTTTGCTGTTTTCTCTCACTCGAAGGGTTGATACAACGCACAAGACGGGGGCGGAGCCACATGGAAAACTCAGATCGATGACAACCAATCACAATGCAGCACCATACTGCGTCATTCGCCAAACCCTCCCCTATTTAGACATTTCTCTCTCTCACCCGTCCGCGTTCATGATGGGGGTTGAGGAGAGAACGTGAAGACGGGTATGAAAGTGCCACCAGACACGCGTGAATGTTATGGAGATAGACTTTCCTTCGTGGGGAGGGCTTCAAAAAGATACGAAGCCTCCCACATCGATCTGAGACACACAGACACACACTGACAGAAGAGTTAATGTCGCACATTCTTACTCTGTGTCTCTTGGCAAATAAAGGTTTCAAGTTTCACAATTTGTCTCGAAGGCGAACGGGAGTGACGCTTATTAATTGTCGAGGGACTGGGATAAAAGTTCTGAATCTAAGAAAAGAGGAAATCTGAAAACAGAGTAATGAGGAAAATATTTTTCACTTATAGGAAAAAATGTGACTGAGGAATATGTTCCATAACCGTCACTCGAAAATAAGTCATTAGGATAATTAAAGTTCGAGATAAGCGAAAGAAAGGATGAAGTAAAGAAAGCAGTCAGAGTTTTGGAAGAGAAATCTCAAGATACCAGATTACATCGGGAACAAGAAGAAGGCTGTGAAAAAGAGAACTGAATCTACCCAGAATGGAGAAAAGAAATGGCGATAAATTTATAGAATGAAGATAATGAAACTTCCGGTTTCACAGAAGAGTACGCATTTAACGTCAAAAAACAAAACACTCAGGAGTGGTACTTCATTTACTGCTTAGTTACTTTGTTAGCTACAGGTTACTATTAGAGTCCTAATTCATGAGAGTGCAAACTGGTCCTTGGGGCAATCAGGCAAACAGCCAAATGATTCTTTCTGAGTAAAGACACTGACTGGTCTTTAACGCTCGAGTACAATAGCAGTTAAACTGGCCTATGAATAACAGATTTGAAAATATAATATGTACTTGGGGTCATTAAGTTTCTGGACTTTGTCCATCGTCCGATATTCTAAAGAACACAACGTTTCAAACACTGGATCTCTTTCCATCCTCAGGTGAAATGGTGGGAGCACCCGTTCTTTTGGATCCATTAGAAAAATCTAACCTCAACCTGGAATACTGGACGACGGACGAAGTAAAAAAATTATTAATCCCGGGTCTTATACACTTTTATCATAACCCTTTAGATTAAACTAATAATAAACTTACTTGCAATAAAGACATAAAGAAAACTAGCCGAAAACTAGTTTAGCTTACTTATTTAACATTTCATGTTTGTCATTCTATGTTAATACTCGTATCTTACTATCAAACTCTCACAACTTAATTTATCTTCGTATTATGCCTAATTTTAATTCATCAGTACCTTTCTGCTACCTTCATAAATAGCGAGTGCTGTAGGCATCTGTTTTGAATACGGAGATGCGTATTTCAAAGTCATATGTATTTTTTTTTCCAATGGTCTTCCAGCCTATTAGAGCCCTGGCCTCTTATTCAGTTCCGTAATCTCTTATACACAGACGGTAGGCCTTGGACGAGTGATCATCCCGTCGCAAGTTCTCTATCTAAACACAGGACAACATAAACAGAATAAACGGATACACATACCAAACATACATCCCCTGAGTGGGATTCGAACCCACAATCCCAGTGTCCGAGCGAGCGAAGACAGTTCATGCCTTAGACCGCGCAGTTATTGTGACCGGCTAATGTTACATGTATAATACTAATTATAATATTTTACAATAAATAAAACTGAAGCCGATCACAGCAGCAGCGCAGTCTATGGCATGAAATGTCTTCCACCCTCTCAAACATTGGGTTTGTGGACTCGAATCCCATTCGAGGCATGGAAGTCTGCGTTTATTCTGTCTGTGTTGTCCTATGTAAGCAGCGGCCTTGCGAGGGCTGTTCCCTCGTCAAAGGAGTCCTACCAAATACCTATGTGATCCATAATTTCATAATAAATTCTGAATGGGTACAGGCCAGTAAACTAACCCGTCAAAGTAGAAGAATAGAACTGAATTTCCTTTCATAACAGTAAAGTAAAGCTATCCCTGTAACAGGCCGTGAAGGCCCATAGGGTTGTGAGACGTTGAGGGTCCCACATTTTCTAGACAATCGACTCAAATATGGCGGTAAGGTTGTCAGCCTCACGCGCCGGTCGCACTTTACTCCCCAAGAAAATTATTCAATTAATTCCTGGTACTCATTAGAGGCTGAGTAAACCCCAGGGCTATAGTTCGGTTGGAAGGATTAGGTCAATTGAAAAAAATCCAATAACCTCAACGAGACTTGAACCCGCGACCTTCAGGCTTGTAGCATAGCGCCTCAAACAACTACACTACCCCGCGTGCCCCTCCCCCCTTTAATAACAGTGCATGTTGGAAAGAAAATGATGATCCGATAACCGCAGTTTCTGATACATGAGTTCATTTATCTATTTACCTAATCTATATACTTATCTACCTACCTACCTATCTATCTTATCTATCTACTTATCTACCTACCTACCTATCTATCTATCTATCTATCTATCTATCTATCTGTCTGTCTGTCTGTATGTCTATCTATCTATGGCTCTACGGCCCTATTGCTGGATCTTGGCTGCTTTTCAGTTTCTTGGCCTTGTACACAGTCGGTAGGACTCCTTGGACGGCGGATCAGTCCATGGTAAGGCAGCTACATGCACACAAATGACAGCACAAACACTGAATACACACACAGACATCCATGCCTCAAGTCGGATTTGAATTCGCGATCCCAGTGTTTGAGCGGGCTAAGACAATTCATGCCCTAGGCCGAGCGGCCACTCTGATCGGTGATACATGAACCTGGATATTCTAAAATTTTAATGTCTATGTTTACAGTTCGTGCCGTGCCCCGGACAATAGAATACTCTTCACTCCTAACAAGCCGTTATGTATCTGTAACAAAAGTCAGATTTTCCTCAAGCAGGGGGTCTGTTTGGAGTAGCGTGGCCACCCTCGTTATGGGTCGACCCCCCACTGCTGGGAAGTGACACACGACACCCCATCCCCTACCCCTGTCTATAATTCAGAGCACCAGTGATTTGGGACTTTCTTTATCTCGATGAACTCTTATGTTACTAGGCATGTCACATGATTAATATTTCTGATTGGCAATTTTGTTTCTTCTTTCATTTATATGAAAATCCTGTATCAGTTGCTGACATTTAGCAATGATTATGAAACAGCGGATCAGATAAAATAAGTAGAAATCGTCGTGGTGTATTTCAAGGTAATATCCCACCTGGAGGGACAAGAGTGAATCTGAGAATTGTACGTATCTCTGTTAGGCGGCCTTCGGGTCGTAATCCGAGCCACAGACCGTCTGAATGCTACTCATTCACCGCCACGTTCTCGCCACTGGAAAGGCAACACAGTCGATGAGTTGGTTAAGAAACATTTCCAAACGCAAACCGGTTTCGCTCCTAGGATCTCAGGTTCGATCTCTTATAACAGTAACGCTATGACGTCATTGTCCGTTTTGTCTGCGTTTCAGGCTATAACGATAACGATAATTCAGGAGCTATTTCAAGGAAATAGCGGCTCCGGTCTAGAAAACCGAAATTAACGGCCGTTGGGATTCGTTGCGCTGACCACGCGACACCCTCTATCCGCTAAAGTTGACACTAACCTCGCCGACAAGCGGCGGTCGCTCGGTCGGTATAGTTCGTTTGCGGACTACAGGACACGGAGTTTTTTTCATGCTATAACATTCAAGTTAAAGTTCATAATAGCAACCATTCAGTCCAGAACCTCTTGTCTTCTTCTGTGCTGTAGAAAACGTAAAAATTAGAATATACAAAACTATAATTTTATATGTGGTTGTGTATGGGTGTAAAACTTGGTCTCTGGCATTAAGGGAGAAAGGTAGACTGAGGGTGTGTGAGAATAGGATGCTGAGGACAACTGTTGGGCCGAAGAGAGAAAAAATGATAGGAGGTTGGAGAAAAGTGCATAATCAGAAGCTTCGTAAATTGTATGATTAGAACGATCAAGTCAAGGAGGATGAGATGGGCAGGATATGTAGCATGAATGGGAGAGACGAGGGATGCATGTAGGATTTTGGTGGCAAAGCCAGAAGGAAGTCTAGGAAGACCTAGACGTAGGTGGGTGGATAATATCAAAATTGATCTTATGTAAATAAGATGGGGTAGTAGGGACTGGATTGAGCTGGCTAAGGATAGGGATTGGTGGAGGGCTCTTGTGAACACGCTAA